GGGAAAGGAGAAGTAAACAGGACCCACGGGCCAGTCAGTTCATGAGCACAGGGATGTAGGGACTCTGGAATAACACACAAAAAGTTAACTGCTTATGATAGCTTTACATCAATGTCCTCTTAGTCTCCCTAAATTGTGGATGTCAGTGTCACATCAGAAAATTCTAGAGAAACTTCCACTGCCTCTATGGAGTAATTTCTGTGTTAGTGGCTCTGTGAGACCTCTTCTTTTATCTTTAACTACTTGTCCCTAAGCTGCCCACCGGTTCCTCCTAAATGCCAGTGTACAGAAAGTAGTGGCGGAAAGCTGTGTATAAAAGTAGCTACGAGGGGCACCCGGGTGGTTCAGTCAGTTGGGCATCTGACTCCTGGTTTCGGTTCAGATCATGATACGATGGTTTGTGAGCTTGAGCCCCGTGTCGGGCTCTGCTCTGACAGCTCGGAGTCTGCTTGGGATTCTCTCCATCTCTCTGTTCCTCCCAACTCGCACACGCTCATGCACACTCTCCCTCCCTCTCTCTCTCTCAAAATAAATAGGCATTAAAAAAATAAAAGCAGCTGCTGTACCAGTCCTAATATTGGAGCCCTCTGCCACTCTCCATCCCTCTCCTGGAACAGGGAGGCTCTGCACATCCCCATTCCCTGCAGACAAGAGCTGTTCTGGATCTGCACTGTCCATCCCAGGACTCGTCTCCCACCACTCTCAGAACACAGTCTTCTTTTCTGAAGTTCACACATCCATTCATACCTCCTTTTTCGCTCCCTCACCTCTGGCTAGGGAGCTCCATGCAGAACATTCCCCCACTTTCCTTAACCACTTCTGCAACTCCCTCTCCATTTTTCCTTATCATATCCCTACTGGGCCTACTTGCAACTTCAAACCCCACACTGATTCTGATGCCCTGACCTCAATATCCTCAAACCCTAGAAGCCATCATCCCCCAACCCCGCTATGTCACTAGGCCCACACTTCAGGCCTACTTCCCTCACAGAACCAGTCCACCTCTAGGAACTCAAAGTCTCATTCTCCCTCTCTTTCTCCAGAGCTCTTCCTCCTCCTGATCCTCAAGCCACCACCATCACACCACGTCTCCCCTTTTCTCCCAGTTCATCAGCCCCTCCCTCCTTCCCAGACCTCTCTTCCCAGCCCCTGACCTTTGGCCTTTCCTAAGGCCATCCTCAATGCCCAGTGTGATGATTTTTTTTTTCAGCTTTACTGAGGCATAGTTGACATACAAAACTGTAGGCTACTTAAAGTCTACATCGTGGTGATTTGATATGTGTATACATGGTGAAAGGATCCCTCCACCCCATCTAGTTAATTAACACACTGTGATGGATAATTTTAGGTGTCAGCTTGACTGAGCTGAGGGATGCCAGAGTGGCTGGTGAACATTTCTGCATGTGTCTATGAGGGTATTTACGTAAGAGAATAGCATCTAAATGGGTAGACTGAGTAAAGATTCACCCTCTCCAATGTGGGTAGGTGGCATCCAATCTGTTGAGGCCCAAATAGAACAGGTGGATGGAACCTGAGCCCAGACACCCATCTTCTCCTGCTCTTGGACATCTGTGCTCAGGGCCTTTAGGCCTTTAGGACTCCACACAGGACTTTGACCACCTGCTTCCCTGGGCCTATACGCATCTTATCGGTTCTGTTTCTCTGGAGAACACTGGCTAATACACCCAATTACCCCCAGCATCATCCAGTGCCCTCTGTTCCACTCTGAGTTTGTTCGGTGCTGATGGAGAATCTTGGCACTTGCATGCTCCCCAGCCCCAAATGATCATTGCTTTTGTAAACTCTGTATTGTATTTCTCATATGAACGCTATCAATTTCTCCCCTACTTCACAAGCCCTGCTCAGTCCCTCAACTTTCCATCTCAGCAGAGCCTCTCTCGGCCTCTTTACTGGCACTAAGTACATCTCTCCTGGAATTTTCAAAGCTCTTAAGCTTAATGGGCCCCAGACTCGGCCAGTGTTCCCTACATCTAACCAATTATTTATGCTCAAAACATGGGGGTCATCCTGACATCTCCCTCTCCCACGCACCTCACACTCCTCAATCTCCAGAGCTTGTCCATTCTAGGTATGAAACAAATCTCAAGTCCCTTCCTTCCTTCTTTCTCATCGCCATCATTTATGACTGTTTTAGTTCTGACCACCATCATCTCACTTGGATGCCCAAATGATGTTTTTAAAATGCAAACCCGATCATGTCCATTCCACTGTTTCAAACCCCTAACGACTCCCCAGTACTAAGGGGAAAACATTCAAAATTCTTAACATGTCCTAGAAGGCCTCATTTGGCCTTAACTTTCTTTCTTTCATTCTCTACGATCCACACTTTTCTCCTTTCAAATGGCAAACTCTTCACCACCTCATGGCAACACGCTGTCTCTTCACATTTCCCACACCCCTGCACCCACCTCCTCATCTCCACCTGGAAAATTCCTGTTTGTCTTTCAGTTCTCACATAAAATGTCACTTCCTCGGGTGCTGCCCCCTTTTCCTCACCCAGTGTAAAATAGATGTTTTAGTATCTTAGGGGACCCTGTAATTTTCTCTCATATTGTTTATCAAAATGCACTGACACCATTATTTTGTGATTACCTGCTTAATGACGGTCTTTTCCACTCCACTATAAGCAACTCAAGAGCAGGGACCCTGCCTCATTTGCTCACTACTGTGTCCCCAGAGCTGGCACAGGGCAGAGTTGGGTCCTAATCTCCAAGGAATGGGCCTGTGAATCTGGACCAGCAGGAAGGAGGCAGAGGGAAACAAGTCTGTGAAATGAGCATCCCTTTGATCCCCTTCTCCACAGGCCCCTTACCCAGCTACTGCTCCTACTGTCTTCTCAGCACCTCTGACCATCCTCATGGAAACATATTACATTAAAATTGTTGAAAACATACCACTTTAAGAGAATGTGCTCAGAGGATGCCACGGTCTCCCCGCACACCCCTCACCCCCATCCCTCAAGCCTCAATCAGCCACTTCCTGTGCTCTGCCTGGCACACGGTGCATCATTTGTTGTTATGAATGAGATAGAAACCTGCAGTTCTCACTCACACTTCACCCTTCCCTCAGAGTGCCTCTCCTCAGAGTCCACATGTCCCCAAAGCGTCCAGACCATCACTTACTCCGATTCGTCTCTCTCTCCCTCTCAAGGTTCATCTTGTTGCTTGCCCCATCTTTCTGTCCTCTCTGCCCCTGTCCCTGTGGCCTTCAAAGGTCTTTCCAACTGGGTAGCAGGGGGGTCAGGGAGAACTTCCTTGATCCTCCAACTCCCTTGATCTAGCCTCCTCATTTCATTTTCTCCTCAGTGCCAAAGTTCCTAAAAGAATATTCTCCAGGCATTGCGTCTCCTTCCCCCCATCCCAATTCACTGTTATTTTTTATTTTATTCACTCATTTTTTGAAGAGTTAATACGTGTTTACAATACAGAATTCAAAACATTCCAGAAGGCACACAATGAAGTATCTTCCTTCCATGGTTTCCCCAAGCCACACGGCTCTCCTCAGAGGCAACCCCCACTCTCAGTACCTTGTGTATCTTTCCACAGAGTATACGCATACATATATTTTTGTTCACATGTTTCTATACAACTGAAGGCATTTATGCATATTTTCCATCCTTTGCTTTTTTTCACATAAAATACGTTAAGGAGTGTTGTACATCAGGAAATCCAAAGCTGCTCCCTTCTTTTAAATAGCTGCCAAAGAGCCCTCTGTGAGGATGTACCATAAATTCTCTGCTGTGGGCACCCAAGATGTTTCTAGTCCTTTGTTCTAATGAGCATGCTGCAGTGAGCATCCTTGCATATCTGGGATCTATCCACCCTTGCGAGTGCATCTGTGGGATAGACCCACAGAAATAAATTGGATTTTGCATTTGGGAGTTAAATCGCTTTCCAAAAGGGCTGTACCAGTTCACTCACCCACAGCACTGTACGGGAGGCCCTCTCTCTCCCCAGCCCAGCAGCTGCCAAATCCTACCGCTTCTTTGTGGGCATCTCTTCCATTCTCGGCTCCTTCCCAGCCCTGCTGCTCCACGCCGACAGCACTTCCTCTGGCTGCAGCGGGCCCATCCAGTCTCCATTGGCTCAGAAAAGACGGTTCCTCCCATGCACCCTCACAGGTGCTTGCTCCCCAGCAGAGGACTATGCACAAAGCTAGAACTCAATATGAATTAATGAAGCCTGGCTCCAAATGAGGCATTATGTCATCCTAGTACTGGCAGATGGCATTTCCAAAAGTGAAAAAATACTCTCCCCGTTCTGCTTTTTAAAAAATATATATGTTTTAGTTATTCCTTTGGACATAAATGTTTTTGAGGTGTGTGTGCATGTGTGCACACGCGCGTTGCCATTGTTGATTTGTCTGTTCTTTAACTTACTTAGTCAGCCAAATAGAATGCACTGATTCTGGTCTCCCCCAGCTCCTTTCCCCCAGATCCCCCTGTTTGGCTTTCACTTTTGCTACTGCTGTTCCTACCCTTCTCCTCACCTCCCGGAGACACGATGGCCAGGGCCACCTCCAGGGCCCTGCTCCATGCTCTAGTCTCAGGGGTCCTCTAGCAATGCCAGAGTCTGCTCTCCACTCTGTTCTGTTCCACCAGCTCCCAGCACACACACAAAGGCAGGAAATGGGCCTCTAGCCGCGTGTCACAGTAGAGTTCTCTGACATTTTAGGAGATCCTTGGATGGTAGGAAGAGTCCTTGCATTTTCACAGTTCTTGGGATCGCAGGACTCAGCATCCCCAGTGTACCCCCACCCCATCTCCATTGTGACACACTCAGGGTGTTTTGGGGGGAGGAGATGCGGGGGCAGACAGGAGGGGGGGGACGTCCGGGATGCAGCACACGCTCACACTGCTGCTGGGGCGGCGGGAGAGGGAAGGGAGGAGAGAGGTGAGGCGCTGGAAGGGGTGGGGACTGCAGGACTGGCCCGGGCGGGACGGGGCACGGTGTGTGCACGCGCCTGTGCGCGGCGTTGAAATGCCCGGCGCTCTGGGGCAGCCGGACAGAGCCCAGGGCGCGCGCGGAGTCTCCCAGTGTCTCGCTCCTCCCGCCACAGCCATGACAGAAAATTCCGACAAAGTCCCCATTGCCCTAGTGGGGCCTGACGACGTCGAGTTTTGCAGTCCCCCGGTGAGTACGGCTCTGGATCCCGGTCCCGCTGCCGGGTCAGTGGACAGCAGGGCCCGGCTTTGGATCCACTGCCCGGAGTCAGGGATTTGTGACACCAAATGTGGGAGGTGGGTCCCCAAAGATGCGCGTGTGCAGGGGGCCCGGGATCCGCAGACCGGTGGGAAGGGGAGGGTGGGACGGGACCCCGGAGCGGGCGTCCTGTGGCGGGAGGAGAGTGCGCATCCACGCGGCGCTGGCCCTGCTCCGCAAAAGTTTGCTCATCGCACACACATCCACGTCTGAGTTCAAGGGACCTTCAGGAGGGAGCGTGGCAGAAGGGGGCACGCTGTCTCCCACCCCAGCCTGGAGTTGGGGGGGGGGGGACGAAGCGCAGAAGTGACCGGTCTCTCCCCGGCCCGGCCCGCAGGCGTACGCCACGGTGACCGTGAAGCCCTCCAGCCCCGCGCGCCTGCTCAAGGTCGGAGCTGTGGTCCTCATTTCGGGGGCGGTGCTGCTGCTCTTCGGGGCCATCGGGGCCTTCTACTTCTGGAAGGGGAGCGACAATCACGTAAGTCCAGAGGACGTCGCACAGGGGTGCGGACCCGAGACCGGGTGCGCAGGGCCGGGAGGCGCACGGGGCCGCGGGGTCCTCGCTGTCACCCGCACGTTCCCCTCTAGGTGGAGCCAGAGCGCCGGGCTCGCGCTTTCCTCTGGGTCCCCTCCGGCCAACTTCTGCCCTCCCTCCCACACGGCTGCGCCGCTTTTTGCTCTTGGTAACTTTATGGGAAAGCAAGCCAGGGTTTTAACAGAGAAGATTAAAAGATAGAGTAGCAGGAAAATCCACGGACTGTTAGGGGAAAGCCGTTTTCTGCCGGTCTCAGCCGGGCGCTTGCAGTCCTGTGACTTTGGCACACGAGCAGTCCTGTGACTGTGGGCGAGGCAAGGCACCCCTCTGGCCTCATCCTTGGGGAAGAAGTGGATTTCTGTGATCTTTGAGGCCTCTCGCAGCTGAGAAAGGCTGTGACTTTAAGAACCTAGGACAAAGATAGTGCAGGAATATTCAGACCCACTACTGGGGATGAATTTGAACTTTCAGGAGTTTTTGTCTGTTTATTGCCTGTGACCTGTCCGTGAACGCTCCCTTCTCTCTTGCCCTAAGGAAAAGAAATGGTCTAACTTCCTTAAAGGCGGCAAATCTCTTTAAAAATCAATTCTGGCCTAGTCACGTGTGATTTAGGGGTAAATGTTTCACTAACTGCTGTCCCACTTTCTTTGTATGTAACTATTTCTTTTAAAGCTCCACCTTCTCTCAAGGAGTATAAAAAACTGCAGCTAGCTTGACTGGGCAGAATTCCAGGGTCTTTGCTAAATACTCTGAATTTTGTTCACCTATGTAAAGGGGGGCATTTTATCTTGATGACCATTGCCAGGCCTGGTATAAGCTTATTTCCACTAATGGAGAAGAATTCCATCTCCAGGGTGCACACAAAGGGCTGTTTCTTAATCACTTCCCTCAGAGGATCTGTGGCTGCTGTTTGTGGGGGACCCCCCCCCACCATGAAATTCAAAGCATGAACGAATTCCAGTACTTAGAGAAAATGGTGCTGAAAGCAATTCAACCATTTTACACATCACATCTTCTGCAGTCACTGCATAATTTGTATTTTTAACTCAAATGCCTACTGTAGATAATCATGCCATTTAGCAGAGTCTGTTTTAGAGACTATATCAAATTTACAAGCATCGATTTGTAAGATCAGAGCTGCACAGTATTTTTGTGTATACTTGAAAAGTGCCTTAATGTATTTGTATTTTAAATAGAGAAGTTAGGCCAGATGCTCATGTTTGAAAGCAGCAAATCTGAACAGGGGAACAATTTTAAGATTTACATCTCCATTAATAGCAGGGTTTCGACTGTAAACCCTTGGGAAATTGTATGGTATTCGAATGTAAAAGCTGTCTTTTCCATAACAGAACCTCAGTGGTACAGGTCATTTGGAGATAAAAAATAGCTTTGCTTTTTGGAGGGTAAAGATTTTAGACATGCTGTATATTAAAATGAATTCCCTTTGGCATTTAATTGTTCAAGACAAACACAACTAACTGACAAGCTTCTAAAAAGAGAGATTGAATGTTCATACTGACTAAGTAGGGCTCCCTCTTCTCATCTTCTACTACCACAAGAGTCTGGTCCGAGAGAGCAGTATTAAATTCTAAGAATACGGAGGAAGAGTGAATCACATTTTCTGGCCAACAGTCGAAGTTACTGCTATTTCCTCTACAGAAAGAAGAATGAAGAAAACCATGGTAGATTTTTTTTTTTTACTCCTAAAATATTTGGTGCTGATCTATATCACTCAAGTCTGAAAAACAAACCACAAAATAGGAAATAGAGTACATCTGGCACCATCCATGCATAGCACTTGCACAGGGCTGCTCTTCCTGAAAGTGTAAATAGCCCAGACAAAATGTAATCCAAAAAGGTAAGTCTCTGTCAAACAAAAAGTCATCCCCCACCAAATGGACTGCCCACTCTTTGGGGATTATCCATGCCTCTGCTCTTCTATATTAGTTTATAGAGGAGAAGCAGCTGTAATTCGCCTCCTATTCCTCTGATATGGGTAAATCCCCTTAGGACAGGCTTACTGGAAGTCAGCTGCAGGATTGTAGAAACATAACTGGGGAACAAGCGACTAGGCTCAAATACTGAAGCCATGTCTCACTCATAAATTTATGAGGCATTATCATAAATGGAACAGGCATTGAAATCTGGGATAGTCCCACCAATAAGAGAAAGCTGACCATCCGACCCTGTGGGAAGAGGGGATGAGATCATTGCTTGGGGCCTTTATTCTCCAACTGATTTTTCTAGATATTCTCCCAAATGTTATGTAATTCATCTTACAGAACCCAGGCTTCATTAGAAACTCATTAACAAATATTCTTGGCTATAAAAGGCACCATATTGAGCAGAATCTTGGCAAACAATAAACTTCACTGTGCTTAGAAAATAGGCTTAGGAAAAAGAAAAAAAAAAAAAAAAGAAAATAGGCTTAGGTACCCACAGCTCCACTGGCTCAGAGCAGACAAGGTGATTACTACTCCACCAGCCCAGCCTCCTTCTGAGGGTAGGGCCCAGTACTTTGGAAATGACTTTGGACTGTTTACCCTCCCCCCATTCCCTTCAGGGGGGCACAGACCTCTCACTGCTGCCCTTGGAGACAGTGTACTCCTCATAAAGCATGGGCTAAAGCTACATGACAAATGCTGCAATACCTAGGCACCTGGGTGGCTCGGTTTGTTAAGCGTCCCAACTCTTGATTTTGGCTCCGGTCATGATTTCACGGACTGTGAGTTCAAGCCCTGCGTGGGGCTAGGTATGGAGAACGGAGCCTGCTTGGGATTCTCGCTCTCTCTTGGCCCCTCCCCCTCAGTCTCTCAGTAAATTAACTAATTAACCTAAATAAGTAAATAAGAAAACTTTAAAAAATGATGCAATACTTATGCCTAGTTAGAACCACTAACCACTCTTCCAGTGTTATAATTTTTTCTCCTTAAGATCTGCTAAGAACTTATAAACTGTTTATTTCTGAAATCTTCCATTGCCTTACTAGTAAAAGCTTACATGCAATGCTTTCTCTCTCTCTCTCTCTCTCACACACACACACACAACACACACACACAGCCTCCTGTTGCATGAGTGAAGGATACTTGTGGCAGGAACTCCCACAAATGTTGTCTGCCATACTCCTTTTGACAGTCATCCTTAGCCCATGTGAATAGTGGCTGCTCAGAGAGCACAGGGACAGAACAGAGCCTGCTTTCTAAACCTTCCCTGCAAAAAGCATGGGCCCAGCCAAGGAAAACAGGTTTCCCAAACTGGGCTGATCAGAAGGACCACCTGAGATGCAAAGTGAACACAGCCTGCTGGGCTCTGCTCCAGCTCTGCTAAATCAGAAACTCCAGAAGTGGTTCTTAGGATCAGGCAACCCCAGAGGACACTGTGCTGCAGAGATCCAAGTTCACCAGGATGGAAGGAAGGGCACTGACACACAGTTGGCTGAAACAGTGTGCTGGTATCTTCTGTTCCGCTGAACAAAGGCCAGTGCCTGAAAGGGTACTGGCTAGCCAAGCCGTTTCTACATCTCTGCCGGTAAAATAAAACTGTGCTCTGTGGGTCTTGTGATAATGAGTTTTCTACAAGTAATGATCCAGTAATAACAGATACTTCTTCTGGTATTTGTCCATGTAGCAATCTTTCTTCATAATGAGGGAGACAATCAGACTTGAATTGAATCTGTGCAATTTGCAGTTCTGACCTACTGACCTGACACTAAATAGCAAGTGTCTCTTATCAGTTCTTAGTCCTTCCTCTTTAAAGATTTTATATCTTGTATATTATATATAAGATATATATGTGTATGTGTACACACCCGTATGCTTCTAAGTCAGAAAAATAAAGATGGAGGGAAGGGGAGGGAAGACAAGACCCACCCACTACCCCACAACGCAGAGAAAGTTCTAGCAGGGCAGCAGCACACTGAGCAGGAGCAGTGTGTGATTTTTTAAGTTAGTATACTAACAAGTTGTCTAAACCAAGAGAACCCTTTGGATCAACTAATTTAGTCATAAACTAAAAATATATATATTTCATGGAGTTATCTTTTTTAAGATCTTACTTAGAAATCCAAAATATAAAGGAGGAGGGGCCAAGATGACAGAACAGTATGGAAGACTTTTTTGCATCTCACATCCACGAAATGCAGCCAGATCAACACTAAACCATCCTGCACACCTAGAAAACTGATTAGAGGATGAACACAACAATCTGCACAACCTGAACCACAGAACTCTGCGGGTACGCGGCTCGGAGAGTGAACTGGGGAAGCGAGAAGCCACGGCGGGCAGAGAGCTGTTTTTGCTCGCAGAGGACAGGGGTGGGGAGACGAGTACAGGAAAAGCCCCTTTCCCCCCTCCGCCACCAGAAGCAGCTGGAGAGAAAGTGGAAACAGCCACAGGGACTGAACCAAAAACGGAGAAAGGAGAAGGCTTAAATTCCATTAGGACTCTATAAACATGGGGAGCACAGAGTCTGAAACAGTTTGTTACCTGGCAGTGTCTGGTGGGAAGGGCGAATCCCCAGAAGTAGAGAGCGACATGGGGAGAGGCGGCTCCCCAGCTTCCGAGGACACTGGTAGAGGGTGTGCGGCTACCCCACGGCCAAAGGTGGCAGCCGACCCCAGAGAGCAAGCACATTCACTGGGGCTGGAACAGCACGTTACGGGTGAAGCCTGGTGCCAGGTGTGTGTTGTGATTTTCCATAATCCCTGAAACGTTGCTGCTACAGGATTGCGGGAACTTTTCCTGGGGTGCGCTGGCACCCAGCTGCAGTCTCTGGGCATTGGCAGCAGCAAAGTCCCGCGAATGTTCCTGGATGCGGCCAGCACCTGGCCATTACTCAGTGAGACGCTTTCCCGGAAGATCTGAGCAGTCAAAGCCACAAGTCTCCCAGAAATAAGGGGTCGGGAAAAACAGCTGCATCCGAGGTAAAACTCAGGAGGGAGGTGC